GGGGGGGGGAAAAGAGGGACATCTGTAATAATCTGAAAAATAAAGATAAAAAACAAACAAACAAACAAAAAACAAAGGTCCCATAGGATGTGCATAATTCCTCCAGCAATGAGATGTGGAAAATGGCCAAGAATGCCTGTGTTTAAAAATGCAAGATTTTTCTAAGGTCTCTTTGGAACACTGAAAGAGTAGTGAAAAGAGCTGAGATTTTGTTATTTTGATGCACGCTTCAAATCTGGCTGTGCTGCTTAGTAGTAATGTCCCCTTGGGCAAGTGATAATCTCTTTGAATTTCCATTTCCTCATCTATAAAATGTGATACAACTCTCCCAGTCACAGGGGTTAAAATGAAAATAGCATATGTGTAATATTTGACTCCATACTTGGCAAAAAGTAGGGGCTCAATATATGCAATATTCTCCTTACCTTGGGGGAAAAAAAGGCCACTAAAAGACAGGGACCATAATATTTATAGAAGCTTTGTTGTTAATAGCCTCACTGGAAACAACCCAAATGACAGCCCCAAATGACCAATAGATTGGAAAAAAAAAGTGGAATATTCATACACTTTTTTCATGACAAAGCATGAACTCTTACTGCAAAAGCATGGATAAGTCTCACCAACGTAATGTTGAATGACACAAAAGAATGCAGGCTATATGTAATTCCATTGAAAAAAAGTTCAAAAGTAGGCAAGCTTGGTCTAGGATGACAGAGAGCAGAAATAGTAATATTTTGGCGGGAGGATGGATGGGAAGAAAGAAAGAGGGAGCCTGCTGGTGTGCTGGGAATGCTCTGTCTTCACCTGCATGATGGTGGTTACACAGGGGAAAATGTATGTGAAAATTCATCAGACTGTGCACTTAAGAGTTGTTCATTTTACGTGTAAGTTATTTACACTTGAAAAAGATTTTTAATTGATTTTTAGAGAGAGAGGAAGGGGGAAGGGAAGAGAGAGAGAGAGAGAGAGAGAGAGAAACATTGATGTGAGAGCAAAACATCTCAGGGACAGAGCCTGCAACTGGGCATGTGCTGTGTCCTGGAATGGAATGGGCAACATTCGGTGCTGGGATGATGCCCAACCAGCTGAGCCACACCGGCCAGGGCTATTTACATTTGTATATGTATAAATAATGTCAATTAAACACCCTTTGTCCCAGGAGCTGCATTTTATATTGACATCAATTTTATTTATTAGCAGAGTATCTAGCTCTAGATATGACATGCCAATAGCTGGCCATCTTGCCGGCTGCAGTCAGTCTGTCCCTGTGAGTGACCCCATTTAAGAGCCGGCCTGGGGCTGACAGGCATATGATGAGGGTCATGCAGGATCATCATTGACAGCTGGAGACGCCATCACTGCCATGGGCAGCAGAGCACTGGGAACATCAGGCAGTGGACTGTGCTTCCCACCCTGAGGCTGCGAGGCACTAGCCTGGCAATGGAAGGATTACAAAGCCTCTCAATTTAAAGAGA